CCCCCCCCGCCCCCCACGGTGGGGTGCGCGTGGCAGGGCAGGGGCCCGGCTCAGGCTGTGGCTGCCTGAAGCCCGGCGGAGGGTCCCGGGCACGCCGAGCCCCTGGCAAGGGAAGGGTGCCCGGTGGGAGGGCCTGGGGAGGGAGGGGTCCCCTGGCGCCAGGCCTTGGCCCGAGACACGGGAAGCAATGCGGGCCCGTCCCAGGCCAAGTTGCCCGTTTTGGACCTAGGGCTGCATTTCAGCAGGACAGGACCCCACCTCCTGTCTGTCTGCAGCTCCTCTTTGCCCCACAGCCCCCAGCCTCCCCGGCTGGCCCCTCCATCTCCGGCTGCTGCCTTACCCAGTGCTGGGCTGCCCTGTCTCTGTCCCCAGGACGGCACCATGGGCTTCTCTTCGGAGCTGTGCAGCCCCCAGGGCCACGGGGCGGTGCAGCAGATGCAGGAGGCTGAGCTGCGGCTGCTGGAGGGCATGAGGAAGTGGATGGCCCAGCGGGTCAAGAGCGACCGGGAGTATGCAGGGCTGCTGCATCACATGTCCCTACAGGACAGTGGAGGCCGGGGCATGAGCCCCAATAGCCCCATCAGCCAGGTGGGGGTTCTGCGGCACCCTAGGCCTCCTCATCCCCTTCCTGCCTTGGACTGAGGAATTCCTCTGGGTGACGGTTCTGTCCGCCCGCCCCCTTCCTTTCCCGGAGCCCACTGGGCAGGGTTGGGGAGTCGGCAGGCCCGGGCTGGGGAGCCATTGTGCCCCCACTCCCTGTCTCGCCCGTCCTGTGTCACACAGTCCTGGGCAGAGCTCACCAGCCAGACGGAGGGCCTGAGCCGGTTGCTGAGGCAGCACGCGGAGGACCTGAACTCAGGGCCCCTGAGCAAGCTGGGCCTGCTGATCCGGGAGCGGCAGCAGCTGCGCAAGACCTACAGCGAGCAGTGGCAGCAGCTGCAGCAGGAGCTCACCAAGGTGCGTCGGGGGCCCTGGGCTCCCCCTGGCCCCTGCTGCCCAAAGGCTGACTCTAAGGGGCTGCTTTTGCACAAGAGCCCCTGGATTCACTGGGGGAAGTGCAAGTCCCTGACCGCAGGCCTGCCCTAGCTTCCGTCCTGCCTTCCTGCACTTGGGCCCCTGTGGCAAGGCCTCTCCGTGCGTGCTCTGCGCCCTGACCGTGCGCCCCAGTAAAGCACGGGGAGTAAAGGTGAGCGATCCAGCCGGCGGCTGCAGGGTGCGCAGGATCGGTGACCCCCCTCCCGCCTGGCACCGGCGAGCTCTGGGGCCTGGGGGAGGAGTCGGCTCCTCGAACGGCAACGGTGTGGCCGCCTGACACAGAGGTGTGAAGTCGGCCCGCCTGCGTTTGAACCCCGCCCTGCTGCTCCGTCTGGAGGCCCGGCGGTCGGAGCTGTTCGGCTTGAGCCTGCCCGGTGCAGTGTGCCGGTCTGCACCCCCGCGCACCACACCCCTCCACCTGCGCCAACCCCAACCTTCCCACGGGCCCACAGCGGCCCCTGGTGGCCACTGTCCACCCGCCGGCGCTCTCCCCAGAAGCGCATCTAATTCCGGGGTCGGCCTGCTTTTATGGGGTATTTCTACTGGAACCCAGCCATGCCTGTTTCTTCGTTTCCTATTACCTGGGGCTGTTACAGAGCTAGAGCGGCAAAGCTGAGTGATTTCAGCAGAGACCGTCTGAGCCTAAAGTGTTTACCATCCGGCCTTTCAAGAGAAAGGTTCATCTCGTCTTTCCATTAAGTTGTTATACAGACGGGGAAACTAAGGTTTAGAGGACAGGGACGGAACTTACCCCAAGGATCCCAGTGCATACACAGGGGAACTGGGATAAGAACTTCGCTCTTGACCATCCATTGTTCCTGCCACCCAGAACGTAATTTGCAGGACTTGCTGCAAAGTGACAATGCGGGGCCTGTTGTCAAAAAATTATGAAAGAGTTTCAAGATGTCATCAACAGAGCGTTAAATCAAGCCCAGGCCATATGGGCCCGCAGCTGGGGCCTCCCTGCCACCAGATTCCACTCTAGGTCAAGGAGGGCCAGGTGTGGCCCGCCCGGCCCCCCTCTCTGCCTCGCCCAGGGGCCTGTCCCTCAAGCCAGCTCCTCTGACCTAACTTCAGCAGCAGAGGTTGGGCCCCAGAGGCCTCCGGGGCCTTCCCGGAGGACAGACTTAGATGCGTGGCCTGCCAAGACCGTGGGACACGAGCAGGGCTTCGCCTCAGGCGGAACTCTCCTGTGCCCCGGGGACCCGCTACCCGACACCGGCCCCTCCTCTCTCCCCAGACGCACAGCCAGGACATCGAGAAGCTGAAGAGCCAGTACCGGGCCCTGGCGCGGGACAGCGCCCAGGCCAGGCGCAAGTACCAGGAGGCGAGCAAAGGTGCGCGGCTTCCCTTCCTGGAAGAGAAGGAGTCCCGAGCCAGTCCTGACCTGGTGCCCGGGGAGTGGGGCCCGCCCGGGGCCTCTGAGCCGTCACCCACCGGCCCTCTCCTCCCCCGGCAGACAAGGACCGTGACAAGGCCAAGGACAAGTACGTGCGCAGCCTGTGGAAGCTCTTCGCTCACCACAACCGCTACGTGCTGGGCGTGCGGGCCGCGCAGCTGCATCATCAGCACCACCACCAGCTCATGCTGCCTGGCCTGCTGCAGTCGCTGCAGGACCTGCACCAGGACATGGCGTGCGTCCTGTAAGCCCGCCCCCCTCAGCGCCCCGCGGCCCTGCCGCCAGGCCCGGAGGCCGGGCCGGGAAACCTAGTCCCTGAGCGGGCGAGCGGGAAAGGCCGCGTAGTCACGGGGGAGCGGGCCCTGGGCCAAGGCATGGAGCCCGTCAGCTCCTGTCCGGGCCGTGCTATTCCAGAATTCCCGTTGCAAGGTTTTCTTCTTGTATGGAGTACCAGTGTAGGCTCTGGGGTACAGCGGGGACAACGGAGACGAAAGCGCCTGTCCTCTAGGGTTATTCGTGGTATCGGAGAGAGAAGAGAGAGCAGCTACAATGGGTAGCATGTGAGGCAGTAAGCGCTACGGAGAAAAATCAGACAAGGAAAGGCAATGGGGAGGCAGGGGCGGCAGGGCGGGCAGGGAGGAGGGACAGCTTTCAGTAGAGTGCTCTGGGAAGGCCTCAGAGGTACCAGAGCAAATGGGGGGGGGCGGTGTTTGGAGAAAGACCGTTCCAGAAAGAGGGAAGAGCAGGTGCGCAGGCCCCGGGGTGGGAGAGCGGAGGGTGCCTGAAATCCAGGAGCAGCGGGACGGCGAGTGCAGCCCAGGCAGAGGGCGGGGAGGGCAGAGTGGGAGCGAGGCCGCTCGGGTCCGGGGCTTGGGGCGCTGCTGGTGACGGAGGGGCCGGCAGGCCGTTGTGAGGACTTGGGCGCTGCTGTGTTGAGAAGACACTCCAGGGGGCCGGGGCGGTTGCGGGAGCGCGGACCGCTGGGCCAGTGGTAATTCCTGGGTGCGTTCCCACGGTGGAGCCGGGGCTGCTTCTCTACGGACCGAAAGTGAGGTGTGAGATGGAGCCAGGGACGATGGAGCTCCTGCTAACTTACGTGGACAGGAAGGAGAGAGACGGGTTCAGGAGACAGGCGTTGACGTTGCAACTCACGGAGTTCGGGTGTCCAAGGGACGTCCGGCGGGACGCTGGTGTCTGTGCGTGGCCGCGTGAGGCTGCAGCTCAGGGAGGGCCTGGGACTGGACACGTAGGTGTAGGGCCAGCAGCACATGGGAGCCCAGAGCCCCCGCCGTGGGGCTGGCTGCCCGGGACAGGTGCACCTGTGCTCCCCATTCACCGAGCCGTCCGCGTACACCACACGCTCTGCACACCAGCTCTCACCGGGTCCTTGTCACCATGCCCAGCGTCCCCATCATACGCACCAGGAAGCAGAGATAAGGGAGACATTGAGTAACTTGCCTGTGGTCATTTGGCTGGTAAATGATGAGGGGGAGAGGAAGGGTCAACCCCCCGGGACGGACTCCTCCAAACGCAGCGTCAGGGGCCCCGTGCTGCTCAGCCCGGCCCAGCCCGAGGCCCCACTGACCAGGGCTCCTGTCCGGGGGCAGGAAGGAGATCCTGCAGGAGTACCTGGAGATTAGCAGCCTGGTGCAGGACGAGGTGGTGGCTATTCACCTGGAGATGACTGCCGCTGTCGCCCGCATCCAGCCCGAGACCGAGTACCAAGGCTTCCTGCGACAGTATGGGTAAGCCCCTCCTTGATCCTGCCGGGCACCAGGGCTCCTGGCCTGTTCGCTGACGGGGCACCGTCCCCCTGAAGGTCCGCACCCGACATCCCGCCCTGTGTCACCTTCGACGAGTCACTGCTTGAGGAGGGCGAACCGCTGGAGCCAGGGGAGCTGCAGCTGAACGAGCTGACCGTGGAGAGCGTGCAGCACACGTGCGTGCTGGCTGGGCACTGGGCCGGGGCGGCCAGGGGCGCGGCCGTGCGTCTGGGGGCACGGCTCGGACACCGCCCTTCCTCCGGGCACAGGCTGACCTCGGTGACAGATGAACTGGCTGTGGCCACCGAGACGGTGCTTAGCCGGCAGGAGGCGGTCACGCAGCTGCAGCGCGATCTCCGGAACGAGGAGCAGAACACCCATCCCCGGGAGCGGTGAGCCGGTTCGCCCACAGCAGCCTCCTGGCCCGCCCCCCCTCTCGCCTGCCGGCCGACCTGCTGCTGGCCACCAGCTACGGGCTGAGCCCCTCTCCCCGCCCCCCCTCCCCGCCCGGCCCCACCTGCAGGGTGCAGCTGCTGGCCAAGAAGCAGGTGTTACGAGAGGCACTACAGGGGCTGCAGGTCGCTCTGTGCAGCCAGGCCAAGCTGCAGGCCCAGCAGGAGCTGCTGCAGGCCAAGCTGGAGCAGCTGGGCCCTGGGGAGCCTCCACCCGTGCTGCTCCTGCAGGATGACCGCCACTCCACGTCGTCCTCGGTGAGCTGCCTGCCACTGCCCACCGCCACCAGCCTCGCCTGCCCGCCCGGGGCGCGCTCCTCATTTTTGCCCTCCCCCTCCCCAAGCCTGGCCACCCGCTGACGTCTGTCCCTGGCCTCAGGAGCAGGAGCGAGAAGGGGGAAGGACACCCACCCTGGAGATCCTTAAGAGCCACATCTCGGGAATCTTCCGCCCCAAGTTCTCGGTGAGTGGAGCCCAGCCTGGGCCCGCATCTCTGCCCTTCTCTAAGGGGGGGGCCAGGCCAGGGGTCTCCGACACGTACCCGCTAAGCCCCTCCTACCAGGGTGTTTGGGGTTCATCACTGCGTTGCCCTAGAGAGGCGGCTCTGCCCAGAGGGGACCGCTTTTATCGGGGAGTCCCCGTCTTCCCTGGGATTCCAGATTGCGTATGTCCCCAGGTCTTTGCCAGTCAGCCCCTCCTTCCCCTCCACCCCAAC